ATGGCAAATGGTGGCGGCGGCGGCGGCAGCAACAGCGGCGGCGGCGGCGGCGGCGGCGGAGGCAGCAGTCTTAGAATGAGTAGCAATATCCACGCGAACCATCTCAGCCTAGACGCGTCCTCCTCCTCCTCCTCTTCCTCTTCTTCCTCCTCCTCCTCTTCCTCTTCGTCCTCGGTCCACGAGCCCAAGATGGATGCGCTCATCATCCCAGTGACCATGGAGGTGCCGTGCGACAGCCGGGGCCAACGCATGTGGTGGGCTTTCCTGGCCTCCTCCATGGTGACTTTCTTTGGGGGCCTCTTCATCATCTTGCTGTGGCGGACGCTCAAGTACCTGTGGACCGTTTGCTGCCACTGCGGGGGCAAGACGAAGGTAACGCGCGCCCCGGGCGCCCGCCCCCTGCGCCAGCCCCGCGGCTTCTCGGCGTCCCTTGCAGCCCACCTCCTTACTCCTCACAGCACCGTGCCTCCCTCCATCCCTGCCTGACTTCCCTTCGCCGCTTTCCCTTCCCTTCGCTCTCCTGGCGCCCGCCGACTGGGGCAGCGGGCGGCGCGCCGGGATTGAGGAGTTGCCCCCAACCGGTGCGCTCCGGAACGCGGACGCCCAATCCCGTCCCCTTGTTTATTGTAGGGTTGTTTGCGGCTGCGGCTGGGGCTGGGGTAGGGGACGCGCGCTGCTTGGGGACAATGGTCCGGGGTGGGGAGACCTGACCCGTCGGGCACCCGGCAAGCTGGGGGCCCCTGGGTGCATGTTCCGTGTGGGTTACCTGCGGCCGCTAGGCTCCTTATGGTGGGCGAGGGGGAACACGTCAGCCGCACTTTAGAAACCTGTTGGGGAGATGAGTTCGTGGCATCACAAGGCAAGGAAATTCCTTGGGGCAAGGGAGAACATCTTTTAGACTAGGGAATCCCCGGGGAGGAACATGGCCAGGGGAAGCGGGGGGACCTGGATGGGCGAGAGAAAGTTGGGGAGATGCATCCCAGTTTTGGAGGCAACCCATGAAGGCTGCCACTTTAGGAATGTGGGAGGTCGCAAATCTGATGTCCCCTTGCTCTCCGACTCTTAGATGTTCTCATGGAAGATACCCGCATCCCAAGTGCTTCAGCATCTATATTTTCGCCCCCATTCCACCACCTTTAGGTCCCCGGAAATGCCACCAACAGCGTGGAGCTGGAGCGGGAGGTCCGCCTGAGAGCCGGCCGAGGCCGCGGGTTTTCCGCAAGCCTCCTCCCTGGCGCTTTTGAGGTGGCTGGATGTTGGCTTAAGCTATTCCTGGCGCAGAGACGCCCACCAGCACCGAGGCTCACTACACCTTATGTATGGTTGCTAGGCAGACTGCCTGGTCTGTCGTCGTGTGTCCCTAGAGATGTCCTCTTTTCCCCGCCACTGTCTGAAGGTGAGAGGCAGGGGCAGTTTTTCATAGAATACTGCAGATTAAAAAAGAAAGCACTGGAAAAGATTGACCGAGCTGCTTTCTTTTGGACTAATTTTTTAACCTAGGGGACTTCCCAGCGCCAGCATTTTCAGAGGGAAAGGAGATCAAAGGGGACTAGGGAACAGTGCAAGGCAGAGGCAGTCTCGGTGGGAAAGCTCACACCTTTTCTAATAAAGTTAATCCGCGGACCCCTCAAACTTCCACAGGGCATAGCAACTGGTAGCAGCCTCCTTAATCCCTGCCGGGAGTAGATAAGACAGGGGCCAGGGGTGACACACCAGGGTGAAGGGACGCTTTCTCTCTCCGGATCATTAATTATACATTGTGTCGGCTGCTGGAGCTCAGCTGTGTTTTGTGGTAGCACATTTGTGCTTTGGAAAATACTGGTGTGTTGGAAATAAGGTAGAAAAATAAAAGCCATCATTCTCTTCCTCCTCCTCCCACCTCTCCGGAGGCCTCCAGATGTTGGCCAGCTTTCTCTGGAGTTACATTCTTGGCCATAGTGGTTTCTCCTTACTTGTCATGGCGGAGAACCCCCCACCCCCCCATCCCAGAGCAGCCATCAGATTAAGCGAAGTCCTAACCCTGAGACCCACAAGACCATGCCCCCTGCCTCGTCCTTCTTCTGACAAGCGCTTACTCATACGCCTTCTTATTCCCATCTCCCCTCTCTTCTACCTCCCTGACAGCCTTCAGTGGTAGAGTTTTTTTTCCTTTACTGAGATTCAGTGACTACCCTTAGGGGAAAGAGAGCGCCTAGTTGTACGAGTCTCAAATGTTCTCTAGAATGAGAGATTTTGGTGAACTTTTAAATGGCCTTTTTATCCTTCAGAAACTGGGCAGTGTTGGTCATAATGAAAACTTTTTCTTCAGTGAGTCAAAATAAGCTTTGGTGTTTTTGTGATCCTGGGGTTTTAAACAGAGCTTCTAAAGAAAGTCTTTTTACTCTAGGGGTTACAGCGATGCCACTGCGTTGCCTGTGATGAAATGTTGATTGGATCATTCACATAAAGAATCTCTGTCTTAACTGATGACCAAGCATAACTTCTATAAGTTTTCTCAAGAAAATAGGTTTTTGGCAACGATGATTAGAAAAAAACAGTCCCTATGTATCAGACTATAGTTTGTGGCTCTAAGATGTGCTGCGTTGACATAACTGGAAGTTTCTACAGAGAATCAACCTGGGGTGAGGGATGCTTGCAGTTGGTTGGGAAGACGTGAGGCCAGTATAGAAGGAGATCAGGTCACTTTTGGTGCCATTAGAGTCCCTTTTAAAACATGCCCAGAATCTCTTAATACTTGCTCCTTGATTTGCTTAATTAAACCTGTGTAGACAGCTCATTATGCCTCATAACAGTAACTTTGGCCTTTTATAAGCTTTTTTTCCTAACCTTGAGGTCTGTATTTTTCTGCAGTTATTTTTTTTTTTTTAATCCCTCATTCTTTTTGCTTTCCAAGTATTTGGTAGTTGTCGAGACACTGTTCGGAAGAATGCATTTGGCTTTAAGTTGGGAATAATTATTTTAGTGCTGGGTTTCCCAAGCAAACCAAGGCTGCTTTTCTGCAGAATTCTACCAGTTGTCAAGTATGTTCACCCTCACCCTTGTTTAGCCCAAAGATAATTTGACCAGAAATTAGGGTCCAGAGGAAGGCTGGTCTTTTAAAAAGAATGTGAAATTCCAGGGGAGATAAGTTTCAGCAGGAGCTCTGGAATCACAAGCATTTGGTCTCTGGGACTGCACCATCCTTTTCCATCAAAGGAACTTGAAACTGGACGTACATCACAAGGCGTCTCATCCTTAGTCCCCTTGCCTCTGAATTCTCCAATCATGCATGACTTGACTATCTTGGAAAGAATAGTATATGGATTTCTTTAGGAAGTAAAGAAGAAAAAGAATCACATTTCCCCCCTGTTAGGAACTTGGACACAGTCATTCCAGTACTATATTCTTTGCTGTACTTTTTCACGTTACTGTTTCATTCCCTGTTGGGTTTCATCAGAGCCTTCTATTCATTTGGCTGTGACGTTCTGAGGTCCAAGCCAGTTGCAGACGGTAGTGAATGGGGAGCTGCTCTGGCAGCCTGAATAAGGTGGTGACCTTGAAGAAGTCGTCTAACCTCTCTGGTTCTGGGCTCTTTCCCGATGTGTAAAATGTGGGGATTGAGTTCTGGGAATGCTCATGTCCCTTCCTGCTCTGTGACTCAGTGGGGGACAGTAGAAGGAGCTGGTGAACTATGAGTAAAGTTTCTAGCTCAGAACGTGTTTTGTGGTTCTCCAGCCTTGGAGCATTTGTGTGTTTTTATTCCCATCTTCTACTCCTCTTCCAGCACGCAGTCTGCTTCTCTTTAAATGCCTAGGGAAACTGAGGCCGGCTTCCTGTGGAGCTGTGGCTTGCCAGGGGGCCTCACGTGGCCCAGGCTTAGACGCATCCTGCTCTCTGTTGGAGCTGACCTGCCCATAGGAGTTTGGGTTTGATCAAGTATGGTCTGCATGTGATGAATTATGGAGGTGTTGTCTCCTTGGCTGTGTCTGAGAAAACAACATGTTTTCTCTGTCAGGCTTGTGACCAATATAAATATCAGATCCCATTATGGCGTGGTAATTACCCAGGGTCTGTCCTGACGCATCCAAT